TTATATTTTGTTGTATTATAATTATATTATAATACAACAAAATACTTAATAACAATTATAACAAAAGGTACTTACTGTATAGCAGACTGTAATAAAAAAAACGCAAGTGAGAAGTCGAAATCGTCGGAATAAATGATTAAAATTGTTTGGAAGAGTTAAATATTGTAAAGTCGAATTTTATAAAGTTCTAACTTTCCAGTCAATACAACCTGGCTCCCGCCGCTCGAATACCGAATACCGTTTACAACCATTTTTATAGTCTCCGTAGCGATCTCGACTGTTTATTATGCCGTATCGGCGGCTCCCAGAAACATTGTAGGATATTACCCGTCTCACCGACGCCGTAGCGACCAGTGGAAGAGGACCACGAGGACGAGGAAGATACCTCCGAGGCAACAGCGTACACAGGTCGTATCTTTTAATTCGCGTACCTTTCCTTGACTCGAGGACAATGCAGCCGAGCTTCCTTACAGATTCCGGTGCGAGCCAGCTAAGGCGAGGATAAAGGGGATGGCCACTCTGCGCCCCGGACCGGGAGAGAGACCCCGCAGTCGAAAACGTAACCGGGTACCCCGAGAATAAGATCTGCCGCCAGGCACGGCCCCTGACAAGGAGAAGCTCCGCAGGACCAGCCACCTGAGCGTGCCACGACGGGAGCGTACCTGGAGGGACCGCCGACAGAAGGACGTCTGTATCTTGAATACCGCGCGCGGGGACACAGGACCCGCGACGCTACGCACCTCACACGATTCGCGGAAGTCGCGAGCTCGCACGCCCGCTAATTAGGGGCGCGTAAGGATGTACCACGTGGGGCTCACCGGTCCAGCGAGATCACGGAAGCAACGGCGCCCGGCATTTGTGCTGTGGTTGCGAGTTCGGAAGGACGCAGGACCGAGTTCGGAAGGACGCAGGACCGAGTTGTACGAACGATACATTACACAGGAGGAGGAGTGAGCTGCCGTTACCGTGGAAAGGACTTCTCGGTGAGACGAGCGTACTTATGTAAAGCCGCCGATTTTTAGGGTGTCTGACGGGCCGTCGGGAACATGCGTTAATAATTGTCGTTTTCATTGTGCGATACGGCCAGAGCCGATAAACTTCCGTATATTCCGACGCCCCGTTTGACCTCGTATGTCGAGATTCCTTGCAGGACTGTCGCGCTACGCGCCCGCCGAGCGCCCCAGCCAAGTCAGTAATTGTAGAGTAATGTTTCCGTAATTGTGTGCGTGTGGTAATTCGCGTTCCTGAAGAGACCTTACGCCACCAGAACGGAATTCGAGAGAATTTCCGGGATCACGGGATCCCGCAGGACTTATTCGTTACCTATTTTCGATCCATCTTGCGTCGATCACGTTTGTCCGTGTACGCCGAGCGTTCCGCGCCGGAATATCACTGCATGATTTCCGATTCCGCGTGTCGCGCGGATGCGAAGTAGATGTAATTAACGATCTCGTACCACCGAGGAGAAGTAAGCTCGATTTTCTGTTTATCCGAGATACGATCCCGTAGTGCGATCGTAGAGTACGCAAATTACGAGTCTCCGTCAATTTTGTGCAAGCAGTATTGCTTCGCGTATCGAGTGTTTTCGTCTCTTGTCGTGTATCATTCCTACTATCCAACTGTAATACTTGATCGCCAAATATATTTGTTACTCTTATTATTATTAATCACTGCTATTTCTTTTAGAATATTCTCGCTCTCCGAACCTTGACCGTTTTCCCTCGAGCCATCCCCTCTACCATTACCGTAGCTGAGAGGCCGGTTATCGCCGTCCTTGTCCGACCGTCGTGCGGAATTTGCGTCTGATCGCGTGATCAATTATTTCCTATCGCATCATTATATTTCCGAAAAATTTCTGATTAGAGCGGCACTCTCTATAATGTGCCTGGCGCCCAATTCTTGTTCCCGTTTTCGACAGGCGAGATGCCTGAGCGACGATTCATCGCGCGTTAGACTCAGTTATACCGTTTTCACGGAACCGAGCTTGTCGGACGAGCGACGAAGTTGCACCACGCTCGTGAGTGCGGTCGCAAAATATAATGCATTTAAGATTGTTAGTTACTAATTCTTTTTCACTCATTTCTGTATGACTATTTTTAGTATTTTAATGTTAAATTTGCAAATTTGAGATATTTATTTAATAAAATATGAATTAGATTACATATATAATATTGAAATGTTTCGTTAGTGTTGCGATCCTCTTTCATACAATTTAAATATTTACGCGTTACTACTATACTACTATTAAGAACATGGCTACACATCACGTGATTTCGACCACCAACATCAAAAGGACCGCTACTGGTATTTCTTATACTGTGATATAGGGCATTCCATCCCAAGTGTGCCACCCGTGAACTTTTGGATTTTTGATTTGACTGAAATTTTTATATATTACGGAAAATGTTACCATAATTTTTTTCAAAATTTTTTATCAACATAGTCATAAAATATGAATTTTTTTTAAAATTCGCAGTTCCAATTTTCAAATGCCTATAACTTTGCGAAAAATAATTCAAATAAAAAGTTGTTTTTAATTGTTTGTTTTTTTCTACTTTTAAAAAAATATCAAAAAATTTTTTTTTAATTGTTTTTAATTTTTCTTTAGTTTTAAATAAAATGTTATTAGTTTTTGAAAGCATGACACATTTAATTTTTTTCGAAAAATTATCATAAAAACTTTGATTAATTTAAAACTGGTCCGATCGTGGAAGAGCTTTTTCTTCTTTCTTTTCGAATTAAAAAAATTTTTTTTCAATTTTGTATTTTTTACGCAATAAAATAATATGAAATCATGATTTTGTCATGACCTACAATTTTTACATTATTCTTAATGTAATAAATACATTTACTTTGGTATTTTTATAATTTTTTTAGAAATTTGAAATTTTTAGTTTATAATTAATTATTTATAATTAAAAGACCAATAAATATTTTTCGTCGAAAAAATATTAAAATTTATTTTCTTGAACGTTTAAACATGTTTGTAGATCATGACAAAATCATAATTTTATATTATTTTATTGCGTAAAAAATGCAAAATTGAAAAACTTTTTTTAATTCGAAAGAAAATAGAAAGAAAAGCTTCCCCACAATCAAACTAGTTTTAAAAATTATTATATTACGATAAAATTATTATATATCATATTATACAACGTTTAAACATGTTTAAACGTTTAAGAAAATAAATTTTGATACTTTCTCGACGAAAAATATTGGTCTTTTAATTATAAAGAATTAGATCGGAAGAG